TGAGAAGTACCATCTTGCAACTTGAATCAAAACAGCTGGCCGTGTCACAGCTCCCACAGCTGCGACTAGCCCCGAGAAGATTTAAAAAGGATCTGGATGTCTTCACATTTTAGGTGGCTCAGTCTCGGGCCGCCTGTGATTCCTATCGAATGAAGTTCTTCAAAAACTTACCGTTGTAGATCTCCTATTACTTCTTCAAGCCTTTCTGCTGCAAACTGCTTTTGTTGCTACTACCACACTTTTACTTCCAGTGTCCACTAATACTATTTCCCCTGGCGTTCTAAGCGTCCGCTGGTAGAAACCTCGATTGCCTACAAGTGAAGAAAAAGGACGCGATTTGCTCAGCGTTCCCAAATCGATTTGTCCATATTTTTAACGGAATTAATCACCGCGCCTTACCTGCATACAGCGATGGGCTAGAATGAAATATAAGAACTGGCGTCTGTACCAGAAAATACGCGAAACGCTGAGGTATCCCTCACAGTTATGTTATGTAGCAGCAGAATATTGATGAAGCACCTGTCTGAGCTTTGAGCCAATAGCTTTTCTGCTAGTATGGGTTATAATGCCGACGTATGTATAGGAACCCCACAACATGGGACACACAACTCGATTGCAATTATACTAAACCTTCTGGCATAGAAAACGAACTGTAGCGCCGGCGCCAAGCCCGCAAACGGTCATGTGACTGTGCTTCCCTATCTGCTTCCGGGACAGCCAATCACAGGCGCCATGGACTGCTATTGGCCAAGCGATTGATCAAGCGACCAGTGACTCACTCTCGCATGACGTTTACTCATTCATGCCCCCACCACGCTAACAGAGGGACGCGCGCATTGGGTCCGAGTCTACCGCGTGTCAGGGCTTCAGACCACTATTGAGTTTCTGTCTACAATAAACAGTTCCTACTAGTCTTACCCTTTCCCTTCCTGTACAGAATAGGGCGCGATAATTGTAGTGCTCTGAGCACTTACGGCGTAGACTCCTACAGAAATACTCAATGAAAACGAGTAAGAACATAGCATGCTTATGTAAATGAGACAAAAAGTTGTACCGGGACAAAAGTTTAAGGGGGGCACATGCGCTACGCCCGCCGTTTCCCGATCCTGTCTTGCTACAGTTCCGTCCAATCAGAAACTAGGAACATAAACCAAATGTAAAACGATATAGCTCGTTGGATGGGTTCGCGATTGATATTTCACTTTTGGGTAGAAGCTGAAATAGTATGCTAATAGCAGGAAATAATGGGCAGTCATCGACGCTTTTGCGACTGGATCAAAAGCTTGCTCGCGTATTTGGTTCAAGCAGAAAAATAGCAAAAACCAATTCTCAGATAGATACATACACATGATGGGCAAACGCACAGATAGCCAGGTACAAACGTCAAAACCGCAAATTTAGTTTCTGCAGTAATGCTGTCCGAAGGTCTGCTACTGTGAATGAATCTCCCATGAATCATCAATTTTAGCCACCGGAAATTCATCCTCCTGTAGCTCGGATAATTTTTGAAGACATGATTTGGGCGTTTGTACAGCCTGCGATCTCTCGGAAACTTTGGACTTCTGCTCTTTCCTCGCACAAGGTACGAAAGGCTTTGAATTCCGCCTGAAATGTAAGTGGATGGGAGAAATACAAGTATTGATTGGGGGACAAAATAGAAATTTCGGAGGAATTCCTTGTCGATATAGGCGTTCGGCCGTCTAGCGCAACGAAAACTAGCAGTGTCCAGACAGCGAATATTGACGCCTTGCGCCGCTGCAACTTCACCCAATACTCTTACATCCACCATTTTATCAAGGTAGGGCAAAATCAAGGTAACTGGCTGTAAACTTAGGCACCGTGGCAAACCAAGTTAAACATCCTATCTACGCTATCCAAATTCCACACGAACACAATGAAGGGAAAACACGAAGCTCCCAGAAGAAAGTATGTCTAAGAACCAACAAAACTGTGTAGTTCCTTTAAAACAAGGTCGTACGTCCATTAGTGATCTAAATAGCCGCAACTGATACATGGTCAGTTAGAAAGGCAGACATTTTATCGTTCGAAGTCTTCGATCGCCCTTAAAGAGCCTCCTGGGAGAATATAATTTCCAATGTTGAGCTATAGTGCAGGTGTTTCAAACTACCAAGCCTAGTATCATACGTCCAGCACCGCCGATTGTTATGGTTTGGTTATGTCATGCGAACGCTATCGTCGGACCTCTAGAGATTGGTCGTGAATCCCTCTCGTAGTGCAACCGACACATGGCAGACAACTGAAAACGTGGCTCAACACCGTCAAGTCGGACGTCAAGCGCCTGGGCCTCGTAACCGTTTACGACTTTAGACACTGGAACAAGCACTGGATTGACATCTGCGAGGAGCTCGCTTCCGATTGCCGCCAATGGGCCACCGATCCCCGTGATATCCGTGAAGCCGACAACAGGAGTTAATTGGATGAAGTACAAGTAAGTACCATTGACACCCAGTAACTGCTGTAATCGGTACGTACTGCGTGTTATAGTTCATGAATGTTACCAACTAAACTCGGGCTTCAAATGTAAAATTTGAAAGGTACTTAAATTAAGCACAAGATACGATAACATTTCCAAGGGCAGCAAATCAGTGGTCAAAAAAGAGTCCTGACAGTTAGACAGTAGTATAGGCAAAAGTACTGCCAAAAAAGACTAGGGAGACTGGAATGGCTATTTCTGGCTTAGTAGCCGTCGTCAGCCGGTCATACCCAGACCCAAGTGGCGCACCACTCCAGCCTCGAACTCACGATCTTTTTGCCCTAACAATTCAGCCCCGAGCCCATTGTCTCATCGGTCTAGGTCAGGAGATATGGACACTCATTGATGAGTTCCGTTAGCGATCAGATGTACTTGATCAGCAAAAAGACTCGGTCACTTTTACCTATAGGCTACCTGTACACTTTAGTCCTTATATTCCGCAGAAAACCCTATTAAAACAAAGAACTGCCCATCCGGACCAGCAGCCTCGGAGTGTTTTTGTGCATCACAGTTTCGCCCTTTTTGTAGGTTCTTTGTGTATCTACTCGATGGCCATTGAACAGATGTCTCCGCCGGGAAAATGGGTGGCAAGGGCTCTGGAAATAACGGGGCTGTAAAGCACGGAAGTTTTTTGATGGCAATAAACGAATCTGACACAAGATAGCTGTTTTTGGAAAGTGAGAAAAAAACAAATCGCAAAAGCCTGGCAGGTATTTTGAATAACTGTCAATTAGGAGCTGCAAGCGGACGGAAAGCGTGAAAATAGAGAGCATGTTTTCATATTTAAAGCGACTTTATTCCAGCTCATGATGGAGAGTCACACTGAGGGCGAAAGCGTGGAAAATATAGCGTTAAATACGATTGTTTTGATGGCCGCAATGGAAAGTATACTTGATTGCCCAGCCCCAAACATTAAACATATGTCTAAAGCCGCATGCTAACCTAAAACGTCCTAGACCTGAACAGTAATCTTAACCGTACCCCTAGACCTAACCCTAGCTTCTGAACCCTAAGCCGAACTTTAACGCAATGGTAAAACTCTAATTAGATGCAGCGGGAATGAGCAAAGTGGGGGAGGGTTAAATTAAGCGACAACAGTAGTTTAAGTAGTGCACCTCATATACCCCTTGTCCGAGCATTTTTTCCTATGGAAATGATGGTTAAAGGGTTTTAAGTGTGAGGAAATAGGATGGGCGGTGAAGGAAATTTGTAGAATTAGCTGGAAAGTGGAAAAACATAGTCTAATTTGTTCCCCGTGCCCGGTGGGAATAAGTTGTTCCGCACGTAAATTGAAGGCGTACGCGGCGCTTTGCGCCGCGGACTATAATACGCTAACTCCAGAACGGTAAGTTGGACATCAGTTAAGTCGAAGCAGACGACTTCCTTAGTTCTATTTCTATTTTTTCAGGAATTTCGGTAAACGTACATTTTGATAATCGGGTTTTTTCCGCAATACGTTAAACGAGAATTTGAGAAATTTCACGGTACCTCCATTTCGATAGACGGGTTTTTCTGCAATATGTTAAATGATAATACAGATTTAGGAAAATCTACAGATAGGAATCAACAACATTGATAGATATAATAAAATAAAAATTTATATAGCAGTTACTAAAGTATATTCCACTGCCTATCCTAATGCTGCACCCATAAAACCCCTACGACCACCGTTTCTGGGACTATTGGTATGTGAGGTGCACTATTTAAACTACTGTTGCCGCTTGATTTAACCCCCCTCCACTTTGTTCGCTCCCGCTACGTCTGCTTAGCGTTTTACTCTTGAACTAGGAGGCTCACTGTGATCCCCTACACCAAAGCCTCCCCTCCAACGAAGGCCGCGAATTTTTCACAATTGGGTCAACTGAAATATCTTAGATAAGTATTTGTTGGAATTAATGACTAAGTGGGCCACATACTCGATCGAACGATGGTTTCCTTGAAACCTGCCGGATATAACAATAAAATTGTTATCCTCTACCCTAAATATAAAGTTTATGCTTACAAACACGACCTGACACGGTTGTCTGTTGATTTTTATAGTTTAAATCATTTGACCAGTAGACATCACCTTGGTTCATATTTGACTTTCTTTGTTTTCCTGCGCCCGCCGGAGATGGCATATGCTGGGATGTCGTCCAGCTTCGCCAGCCTTGGAAAGCGCGCTAAAATGGCCTCATGGTAGGAGGGTCCATAGGCCAGGGGGTTGCCAGCAAAGTTCAGTTCCTCCACAAAGTGCAGCGCATGCAACTCACTCAGAAGCTCCTGCAACATAAAGGAGGATGCTTTTAAAAGACATCGACCAAACATGTCTGCGAAAACTTCCCGTGCAGTTTTTAGGTGT